TGTTGATATTTTTCAAAAACAAAATTTTGGCGTCATTGATTCTCTATTGTTTCTTTATTTATCTCTGTGCTGATCTTATTTCTTTCCATCTGCTAGCTTTGGGTATAGTTTTGCTTTTCTGTTTATATGAATTTTTAGATCAGCTTTTGAGTTTCTAAAGAGTAAACAACTGGGATTTGATAGGGATTGTATACAATCTGTAGATTAATTGGGGATTTTTTTTCTGTCTTAACCATATTAAGCCTTCCAATCCATGAATATGGGATGTCTTTCCATTTATCTAGATTGTTACAATTTCTGGTCAACAATGCTTTACAGGTGTCAGCATTCAAATCTCACACTTTTTGTTAAAATTTAAAAGGAATTTTTTTTAATGGGGCTTCAGATAGATTCCTTATGATGTATGATGGACCATGCCTTTCATACCATCATACAGTAAATACGGGAACAGGTTCAGTGTCTGCTTTTTACTATGATCCCCGGCCTATGTTTGCGCTTGTGTTTGACCAATGTTTTGACCTATGGCAGGGTTGGCTCCAGGGGCTCAGGGTCTGGGGGGCTTTAAGAGAATCAGGATGACCATGTGTCCCATGGGGGACTGAGGAAGGGATGGCAGAGCAGAGGGAAAGACCAGGATGGCCAAGAAAGTCAGCATGAATCCAGTACCACCAAGGCTGTCTCACCATTTTCAACAAGCTACAGTTTCTGAGGAAACGTTGCTTAGGTTTAACTACTTCAGGAAAAATACGCTATGGTAGAGTATGTCAGCTTTCATTTAGTAGCTCACTCCACGGTCCACTTTATAAAGCGTTTATTGTTCTGTTTTTTTCTTGGTTTGTTTGGTTTTGGCTTGAAGTTCATCAGGCTTCCACTTCCAGCAGGGCAATTCTTTCTACGGTGGAGGGCAGCAGAGATATATACTGAGGGTCTCCCCCTCCCTTTCCTAAGCTGAAGAAAATGCAGGCAGATAAGGCTGGATCTGAGGAGCTTCAGACAGGGAGGAGGAACTGGTGTTCCTGGTGGGGAAGGGGCCCCCATTGCCTGCAGTCAGGGGAGGGCTGGGGAGGACCCCTGTGCATGGCCTCCTCCTCTCTCCTCTCACACTAGTGGCTGCCCTGAGTGAGCCATACGCTTTCCCCAAAGCCCTGGGCTGGGATCATCACTGAGGTGTGCAGGCAGCTGGCTGGCTCAGGTCACTGCCCAGTTTGGAGCTACTCACTGGGTTTGCCCAGGAAGGTAGGGCTCCAAATACTGCCTTCCCATCCTTCAGTGACCAAGTGTGAGACGTGAGAATGCTGCCCATCCACCCTCAGTTTCCTTAGTCTGAAACAGGGTAAGGTGCTCCTCCGTGAAGGCTGCCAGAGGGTTGGAGGGAACCTCCCGGGAAGAACCTCACAAGCACAATGTGTACCCTGTAAACATTAGCTGTATTCTTCACATTTTTATTCCTACACTAACAATATGATTTTTAGAAGGAGTAGGCCAGACGTCCCATAAATGCAACAGTAAGATGTGCATTTACATTCTATTCTGAATTTGGGGAGACAGTTTTACATTCATGAATAATGACTATAATTGCTGTTTTCTCTTGCTTAATGACAAAAATGGTGTTGTGAAAAGCTGGAAGTTAGGAAACCAAGATGCTTTCTGCATTTTGTGTTTGCTACCTCATTTTCATAAAAAGAATTTACCAGCCCTAAGTATTTATTATACATTGTGCAGACCTAAAAAAACCAAAAACCTAGTGCGGTGCTCATTACACTTTCTAGTGTTGCCATTGTTTACAGCACCTTGCTATTGTCGTTATTGTGATAATATTTTAATGTATGTTTCCATGCATCCATCAGGAAATTCAGTCCTGTACAGTGGAAATGAGAATGTGCTATCAACATGTGGCATAATCAAATTTAATTCATTTCGGTTAAATTTTATCTTTTATGCTGTTCTTTTAAGGAGCCACATTCATAACATAGCTTCTAGGCTAAACGTTGGACAGAAATAGATACGTGAGTGGGGCATTAATGGGCTCGCTTTTTAATATGAAGGGAGATTAGAATTGTATTAAATTACATGTTAATGGGAAAACAAAGCAAAAGACAACAGGATGACATGCTGCTATAAAGTCTGGATTACAGCACATCGTTTTGCTATTTAGCAGTTGAATATTGAATTTCATTTGAAAACTTGCTTTTAATGATATTAAAATAATACCTAAATATTACCCCAATATATTAAAGTGCTTTCGTTATAATTTAACAATTTGAGAAAGGAAGACGCCACTGGCCCTTACCGCGTAGGCGCTCCTGCGAGACGGCGTAGGCACCTGAATATAACACAGCGAGCCTCGCTTTGAAGTTAAAGGATCTGTTTATTCTTGAATCGGAGGCTGTTTACTGTGAGAAGACGCAGGAGAGACCCCTCTGCTGCCCTCCGTGGGAGAAACAGCCCCACACCTTGCTGTCAGTCTCTGGGGACCCCTTGGGAAATCTTTCCATTCCCTTCTTCTGCATTCACTCCTGGGTGTGAGAAGCTGGTCCCTGATTTCCCAGGGACCCATGAAATCACATCCTTTCCTTATCCCATGTTTTCATAGCCATGCTGGCCTGGACGGCTGGCAGCCCTGGATCCTGAAATTGAAACTGGGGATGTTGTGAGGCCATACCTAGGACTAGTCACTTGGTAAACGTTCTCAGCCGGGTATGTTTTTTTTTCTTGCCTTGGTTACCTGGAGGGCTGTGTTGGACACGATGGGAATAGTCTCACTCCCCATCTCTCTGCTTGCTTTCCTTGGTGTCCGTGTTGCTCTGGGAGTCAGAGCAAGCGGCTCTCCGAGGGCAGGGTGTGCCGGACTCACCACAGGACTGCAGGTAGGGGTGCATCTCAGGCCGCGGGGTGACAGTGAGAGAGGAACAAGGGGGAGAGATGCTCATGGCGATGGGGGAGTGGGCAGGCAGGAAATCGTTGTGGGATCCGAGGCTTGGAGGTGGCCCAGGGCAGGGGGGTGTTGGACAAATGTGTGGGGGATCGTTTCCTTCCTGAGATGGCCATGCTCAGCGCCTCAAAGAGGCCACTTCTAACTCCTGTCCGGGTCTTTGGCCTCGAGGACAGCACACAGCAAAGTCCAGCAGTGTGGAGCTGGGTCTTGGAATCAATACAGGGACTGCGTCCAGGCCTGGGAGCAGAGGCCGGCAGAACCCGGGCAGTGACATCTAGAAATGATGGCAGCTGGGTGTGGTTAAGGCCCAGCAGACCCAGAGGGACGTGCAGACCATGGGGCAGAGGGAGGCTCGTCAGCTCCTCCGGTTATCACAGAGCTTGGTTGTCTGGTCTGAGGCTGGCACTGCTCCGGCGTGGCCCACAGCTGTCACAAGCCAGGTGGCTGTGCCTGCAGAGAGCTCGCTGTCCTAGACATGGCCTTGAGTAACAGGCCAAGGAGACTCACCTGAAAGTTAGTGGATGGGCACAGGTGCATTTGATGGGTGGAGGTAGGGGGAAAGAGGGTCAGAGGAGGAGGCCATCGTGATGGTTCTGGTGTCAAGCATGAGGGTCTGGGGCAGGAGGGGACTGAGATGGAGGCAGGTGTGGGGTTGAGGGGCGCCGCCAGGAGGAGGAAGGTGTGGGTGCAGAGACCGGGGAGCAACAGGCTGGGAGCTGTCAGATCCTCCTTCTCTGCGGGTCACTCTGGCACCCAGCTGTGTTCCCAGGGACAGGAAAGAGAAGGTATCTGCCCCTCGGCAGCTCAGTGGCCATAAGACAGGCCATGCTGTGTTGTAGCCATAGCCTCTGTCCTCCAGGATGCAGAAGGGCACGGGGAGGAGTTGGGTGGGAAGGGACAGAGCCTGGCCTCTGGGGAAGGAGACACAGCTGCCCCCCCGAAGATGGGGCCTCGAGAAAGCCCCTCCCAGGCTCACTAGCCTGTGAGGATGTGGATTGAACAAACAATTTCACAATTAATACATGTGTGTGTGTGTGTGTGTGTGTGATGCGTGAGCTTACTAGACAATATCACCCATCAAGTACCAGATGCTGTTTTTAAAACTTCTTAAGCTGTACCACAAAACAGAAATCTAAGTGAAACACAACTATGCCTTCCCCTCAAATTGTTAATTTCCTTTAATAGCACAAAATCCGGCTGTCAAGAGACCTGCTGGATCCACTAGATGCTAACTCTTGGTCATTAACCATTTGGGAACTCAGAGTTTCCTCTCTGCTCCTCACACTTTGTGATATAAAAACAACTGCCCGGCCAGACACGAAGGCTCACGCCTGTAATCCCAGCAATTTGGGAGGCTGAGGCGGCGGATCACCTGAGGTCAGGAGTTCGAACCAGCCTGACCAATATGGCAAAACTTCATCTCTATTAAAAATACAAAATTAGCTGGGCATGGTGGTGTGTGCCTGTAATCCCAGCCACTCGGGAGGCTGAGGCAGGAGAATTGCTTGAACTCGGGAGACAGGGGTTGCAGTGAGCAGAGATTATGTCACTGCTCTCCAGCCTGTGTGACAAGGTGAGACTCTCTGTCTCACAAAAACAAACAAAAAACCAAAATTAGTCGGGCATGATGGCGGGTGCCTGTAATCCCAGCACTTTGGGAGGATGACGGGGGCGGATCACCTGAGGTCAGGAGTTTGAAACCATCCTGACCAACACGGCAAAACCCCGTCTCTACTAAAAATACAAAATTAGCCAGGTGTGGTGGCACATACCTGTAATCTCAGCTACTCGGGAGGCTGAGGCAAGAGAATCGCTTGAACCCGGAAGGCAGCGGTTGCAGTGAGCTGAGATCGTGCCACTGCACTCCAGCCTGGGCGACAGCGAGACTGGGTCTCAGAAAAACAAGCAAAACTGCCCTCTCGAGTACCCAGGCCAGAAATGGACCCTGACCATCCTGACAACCCAGTCCGCGGTGGGGGTCACGTATTCCACCTGCTCGCACCGGGGGTCCCCGCCCGCGCTCCCGCTCCCGGGTGCTGAGTGACGTTTCTGTGTTTCCCCGCAGACCCGCAGTACTCATGGTCGCCCACGCAGCACTTCAATGAGGAGCGCTACTCCCCGGCGCCCAGGAGCATGAAGGGCCTCTCCGGAAGCCGGACGCAGCCGCCGCTGTGCTCGGGGCACACGTGCGGCCTGGCGCCCCCCGAGGACTGCGAGCACCTGCACCACGCGCCCGAGGCGCGGCCGCCCTACCTGCTGAGCGCCGCGGACAGCTGCCCCGGGGGGCGCCACCGCTGCTCGCCGCGCAGCTCGGTGCACTCGGAGTGCGTCCTGATGCCGGTGGCGCTGGGCGACCACGTGTCCAGCAGCACGTTCCCGCGCATGCACTACAGCTCGCACTACGACGCGCGCGACGACGGCGCGGCGCCGCGCGTGGGCGCCAAGATCAACCGCATCCCCGCCAACCTGCTGGACCAGTTCGAGAAGCAGCTGCCGCTGCACCGGGACGGCTTCCACACGCTGCAGTACCAGCGCGCGTCCGCGGCCGAGCAGCGCAGCGAGAGCCCGGGGCGCATCCGCCACCTGGTGCACTCGGTGCAGAAGCTCTTCACCAAGTCGCACTCGCTGGAGGGCTCCTCCAAGGGCAACGCCAACGGGGCCAAGGCGGACGGCCGCGCCGACGAGCCGCACCACGGCCACCACGCCAAGCACGGCAAGAGGAGCAAGAGCAAGGAGCGCAAGCCGGAGGGCAAGCCGCGGCCCGGCATGAGCAGCTGGTGGAGCTCGGACGACAACCTGGACAGCGACAGCACCTACCGGCCGCCCAGCGTGCTCAACCGGCACCACCTGGGCCCCGTGGCCCACGGCTACCCCGACGCCCTGCAGAGCCCCTTCGGGGACCTCTCACTCAAGACCTCCAAGAGCAACAACGACGTCAAGTGCTCAGCCTGCGAGGGGCTGGCGCTGACGCCGGACGCCAAGTACCTGAAGCGCAGCTCCTGGTCCACGCTGACGGTCAGCCAGGCCAAGGAGGCCTACCGCAAGAGCTCGCTGAACCTGGACAAGCCGCTGCTGCACCAGGACGCCAAGCCCGCCCTGAGGCCGTGCCACTACCTCCAGGTAAGCAGACTCCGGGAACAGCAGGTGCTGTGGTCATTATTCCCCTTCTAATTGACAGGTAACAACCGCATAAGTGTGGGGAGTGCCACGGGATGCCCTGAGCTACTACACACTCTGGGACAGCTCCGCTGAGCTGCTCACATACCCACTGCCTTAGGTACACCATCTGTCGTGGTGGGAACACGTAAAGCCCACTCTGGGTGATTTCCAAGTATGCAGTGCAGGGCTAACTGTGCTTGTCCTGCTGGCCAGTCGGTCTCTTGAGCTGGCCCCTCCTTGCTGGAATTTTGTCCTTTCACCAACATCTCCCAATTCCTCCCCATCCCCAGTCCCTCCGGTGACCACGGTTCTACTCTCTGCCTCTGTGAGTTCAGCTGTTTCAGATACCACCCTTGAGAGTGACCATGCGGCCTCTGTCTGTGTGCGCCAGGCTCATCCGGCTTTCTTTCCTCGGTGTCTCCTGGCTCATCCATGTTGTGGAGAATGGCAGGTTTCCTTCTTTCACAGGCTGAGTAGCGTCCGGTGTGTGTATACCGCATCTTCTTTATCCGTCATTTGCCGGTAGACCTGAGGGTTGACCACACGACAAGGCCTTGTGTGCAGGCCTGCAGGGATGGTGAGACGCCTCTGGGCAGCTGTCATGCGTGACTCTGGCTCACTCTGGGAGCCTCTGGAGATCCCAATTCCTCCTTGGAACCACCCCTCTAAGCACAGTGGGCCATTTTTTAAATGCCTCTAAGGCTGGAGGGTTTAACAACCGCAACAAACATAGACTAGCCGGTGTGCACGGTTTCCATGCGAAAGCTGACGGTCAGCCTCATGGAAATGGGCCGGTGACATTTGGGAGTTCACGCCCTGCACCTGACCACAGCCTCTTTAAGCTGTAAAAGGCCTCTGTGTCTCTGGGGTGTGGATTTAGTGAATTTACCAAAGGCAAAAGCAAATTAAAGAAGGTAGATTCCTAGAGCTAGCATATTGCAGAATTATCTATTTTATGTGGATTTCCTTCTCTGCTTTTGAATTGAGTTTACTGGGGAAGGCTTCTGGGAGGGACACACTACTGCTGAGGATGCCGCTGAGTAACTTCTGTCAGCCGATAGCGCTGTTAACAAAACATGCATGCACATACTTGGCATGCATGTCCTAAATCCCAGATCACTCCTGCTTGCCTAGTGCGGCAACTGTGGGCCGCGCATCAGGTTAGAGACAGACGTCTTCCAGGAGTAATGGGCCATTGGCGGCTGAGCTGACAGCGAGTCAGCTAATGGGGCGGGGCCAGCAAGCGCCGTGAGTCTTCCTGGGAGCCGTAGTGGCAAATGCTTCCACCGGCACCATCGCCGTCAGCTGGCTCCGGCATCCATGTCTCAGCAGCTCGGATTTGAAAGGAAATGCTAGCCACATTGCCTTTGCCGGCAGATTTATTCAGAGACAAAATGGCAGCTGTATAAAATGTTATTTTATAGCAATGGAAGAGGCTTATATTTTGTTTGCCTTTGGCAAACCCTAATCATATCCCAGGGTAACAGTTGTGTCTGCCTGTTTAGAGAAGCAGGGTATTTAGAATCAGGGTTCACTCTGCCCTGTCCCCTCATTGTCACAGATACACGGCTCTCTTGTTTTTGTCTGCGCCTGGGGTGGATAGCCAGTATTTCCTGAGCGAGCACTTCAGGACCTTCAGGATGCTGTCACAGCCTCCAGGTTTTGCCCCAGGGTCCCCTGCCTCCAGCCCCTCCACTTTCCACCCACCCTCCAGCTGCACCTTCTCCACAGGCCCCGTGCCCCTCGGACCTGCCTTCTCCCAGGAGCTTCTCCCACACACCTCCTCCCTGGAATACGATACTCTCCACCTCCAGCAGCGACTCCATGGTCTAGGTGTGGGGAATATCAGTCATCTGCAAAGGCGAACTGAGACAGAGTGAACCTGCGCACCGCCAGCCCTTTCAGAAGCCATCACTCCAAGACTCATCTCATCCATCTGCTCTGACGCCGCCTTCCCCTCAGGCCCCACCAGAACAAATCCCATATGACATACAGATACAACTGTCAATATGCCCGTGCTGATCTCCCAAAGATCCACGCTGAACGATGAGGACACCTTCTTTGGAAACATAACCAGCTGCGTTATCAGACATTGAAAACAATAGCTCATCAGTATTTCCGAATATCAGCCTGGTCAGGGTCACATTTCCCTGAGGGTCACTGTCACTTTTTGGCTTTTATTTAAATCAGGATCCAGAGAAAAGGCCACGTGGCAGCTGAGTGATTAGCCTCTTCATCTCATGCAGCCTGTAGGTTTCTCCTCTCTTCCTTCCCCTGGATGTTTTTCGCTTGTTTTTTTGTTTGTTTGTTTGTTGTTTGGAACCAGCTGGTTGGTCTGATTGCCTCTGTCAGAGCTCCATGCCATGGTGTCATTTCAGACCCTCTGGCCCTGTTGTTCTCCAGGTCCACAGCTGGCCACCCACTCCTGGACTTCCCTGCCCCGAGGCCTCTCCCCATACATGTATGGGACATTCCTCAGGCATGTTTCCTGGCAAGCCTGTAGGAGCCTTGAAGGCAGAGGCCAGGTCAGACCTCCCCTTTCCCTTTTCCAGGGTCCCCCCACAACTCTGCCAAGCACTGGAGAGCCAGCAGGGTGGGAAGCACCATGGGTCAGGCTGAGCTGTTGCCCCAGCAAAGACATGCAAAACCTGATGTCTTTTTATAGTAACATGTAGACAATGACAGGCTGTGATGTGACCCCGGGGAAAGGTGTGACTCCGTGGGACACAACATGGAGGCGAAATCCCCCTGGGATTCAGTGACGTGGCCACAAGACGGAGACGGGACAGGGAGGAGAAAGGGACCACCAGACCCCACACCCACCAGGAGACGGGAAAGGGAGGAGAAAGGGACCACCAGACCCCACACCCAGCAGGAGACAGGACAGGGAGGAAAAAGGGAACCACCGGACCCCACACCCACCAGGAGACAGGACAGGGAG